ATCTACCATCTTCCTATTTTTTGTGTTATCTGTACTTTCTACCTTTTCTTTTTCTCTCTGTTTTGTATTAATCACTTACATTTTATTTATTTTTTTCTCCTCTCTTATCTTAAATACTCTTATCTTGAATTCTATTAGTCTTCTTTTAGTTGTTATTTTAGATTATAACATGCATATTTGATTCTACCTTAAGTTAGTGCTTTAGCATGCTGGTAAAAAGACAAGAATCTTATAATACTTCAATCCATATGCTTCTTTTACTTATTTTGATATGCATCAGATATTTTAATTTTACATAGAATATGACCAGCCTTACTAAATCCTTAGCGTTCATTTGTATTTCCTACATAGTTGCCATCTCTGGTGGTGGTGTTTTCTTCCTGTGTCACCGTGCTTCCATGGAGATCATTTTCCGTCTGCATGAACATCCCCTTTTAGTATTTCCTGGAGTGAACATTGGTTTCACTAGGTTTAGAATTGTTGGTAGGATTTTTTTATTTTCCCAACACTTTCAAAGATTTTATTTTCTGGTTTCCATGGTTTTCATTAAAAATTCAGCTTTTTTTCATTATGTTTTGAAAGTAAGATGTTTATTTTTCTCTGGCTGAATAGAAGATTTGTTTTTCTTTCTTTCTTTCATCTTTTTTTCTTCTTTTTGAGACAGGATTTCACTCTGTTGTCCAGGATGGGGTGCAATGGTGCAATCTGGGCTCACTGAAGTTTTGACCTCCTGGGCTCAAGCAATCCTCCCACCTCAGCCTTCCAAGTAGCTGGGACTATAGGTGTGCACCACCATGCCTGGCTAATTTTTGTGTTTTTAGTAGAGATGGGGTTTCACCATGTCGGCCAGACTGGTCACCTGACCTCCAGTGATCCACCCACCTCGGCCTCTCAAAGTGCTGGGATTACACATGTGAGTCACCACTCCTGGCTCGTTTTTAAATTTTTTGTAGAGATGCAGTTTCACTACGTTGCCCAGGCCAGTCTTGAACCCCTGATCTCAAGCAATCCTCCTGCCTTGGCCTTGGCTTCCCAAAGTGCTGGGATTATAGGTGTGAGCCACCATGCCCACACTGTTCTTTTCTTTTCAAGAATTATTTTTCCTTTGCAAGATTTTCTCTTTAATTTTAATGTACATGTGCATGTGGATGTGTGCTTTGTATTTATCCTGCTTTGAATTTTTAAAAATTCTTAATTCTGTGTCTTGATGTCCTGTCAATTTTGGAAAATTATTTACTGATTACTCTTTTAAAAAGTCTTCTAACTCAATCTTTCCCTCCTGTCCTTATGGGATTTCAATTATATACCCATTTGGACCTATTCGTCTTGTGCTACACATCTTGTGTGTAATTTCTACCCTGGGGTTTTTTCCTATGTGCCCCAATCTGAAAACTTCTACTGATCTAACTTACATTTCAATAATGTTCTCTTTTGTGTCTAGTATGATATTTAAACCTATCTACTGAATTGTTCATTTCATTTTTTGTACTTTTTTGATTTTAGAATTTTTGTTTGATTTTTGTAGTTTTCCTGTTAAAATCAGTTTCATCTATTTTTGTAATCATAATATTAGCTCTAACATTAACGTAATTAAAAATATTTACACCTCAGGTCTGTTTCTGGTGATTTTTGATTGAATAGTGGACATTACGTACAAAGAATCGATGCTCTGGAGGTTATTGTGCTTTTCTAAGGACAATTTAATTTTCTTCTGGCTAGCAGATAACGAATGAGCAGATCACTGTGAAACAGGCTGGTCTGTTTCCATATTGCCTTTACTCCTAAAGTGTAGCTCTTCTTGGGTTTTGTTGAAATTCTGGAGTGTCTACCTGTGTTCTTCCTTCTTAGCAGGCCCTAAAATCTGATTTTTTTTTTTTTTATCCCTAGCACTATGAGACCTCCAACTTCTCTGCGTAGATTTAGAAGGCATTTTTCTGGTTTGATCTGTCTTACTTGTAGAATATACAGCTAAGGTGTTGGCAAATGCCTTTAGAGGATATTTCATGCAGAGTATCTAATCTCATTTTTAAAAAAATTATCCTTTTTACTAGTAACTTGCTCCCTAACATCTGGGCTTCTTGTCAGCCTTCAACTCTGACTTTTCTCCTCCCCTGTTCAGTGGGTCTGCAGCAAGCTCTAGTTAGGTTCAACCTCTTTGCCCTGAGCTGCGAGGGGAAAACTGTAGCAAATAAGGCTTACCTCAATCTTTTTCTCTTCTTACAAAGATTCTGATTGTTTGAAATGCTGGTTCCTTTTTCTTATTCTCCAGTGCTTTCCATAGTTGACTATTTAAAACAATTTTTAAAAAATTTTAGTAGTTTTTGGGGTACAGATGGTTTCTGGTCACATGGATAATTTCTTTAGTGGTGATTTCTGAGATTTTGGTGCACCTATAACCTGAGCAATGTACACTGTATCCAAAAGGTAGTCTTTTATCCTTCGCCTGCCCGAACCTTCCCCTTCCAAGTCCCCAGCGTCCATTATGTCATTCTTATGCCTTTGCATCCTCATTGTGTAGCTCCCACTTACCAATGAGAACAATGAGAACACATCATACTTGATTTTCCATTCTTGAGTTACTTCGCTGAGAATAACGGCCTCCAGCATCATCCAAGTTGCTGCAAAAGACATTATTTCATCACTTTTTGTCACTGAGTAGTATTCCATGGCATATACATACCACATTTTCTTTATCTACTCATTGGTTGATGGGCACTTAGGTTGGTTTCAGATCTTTGCAATTGTTAATTGAGCTGCTATAAACATGCATGTGCATGTGTCTTTTTCATATAATGACTCCTTTTTCTTTGGATAGAGACTCAGTAGTGGGATTGCTGGATTGAACGGTGGTTCTACTTTTAAGTTCTTTAAGGAATCTCCATACCCACAGTTGACTGTATTTGATAGTTATTCTTGATGAGAGTTTTAATCTAAATATTACTCATTATAAATAGGAGGATAATTCTAGAGAATTTAGAGAAATTTGATCTTTTGGTCCTTGGTGGTGTTGTTAAGGAGTCAGTGTCATTTTTACTCTTTACCTTTTGTAAGAAAGTAAGTAGTTCACAGTGTTTCCCATGTTTCTGTATCTTGTTTCTGTATTATGTCTACTGGTTCTATCAATATTTGAGAATAGAATGATAAAATCTCCAACATGACTGGATTTGACCATTTCTCCCATCAGTTCTGTTATTATTTTGCTTCATATATTTTTAATTTCTATTATTAGGTGCATGTATTTAAGATTTCAATGTCTTGATGAATTGACCCCTCATCATTAGGTAATATCCCTGCTTGCCTCATCATACTATGTCTAGTTTTAAAATCTGTCTTGTGAATGTGAATATAGTTACTCAAGCTTTCTTATGGCCAGTGTTTGCATGAAATTTCCTTTGCCATTGTTTTTACTTTAACCTCCTGTATCTTTCTATTTAAATACGGTTTTCGTAGGTGACATATAGTTACCTCTTGATTTTTTCAGGCTTTTTAAAGATGTATAATTGATAAATAAAATGTTAACTATTTATGGTGTACAATGTGATGTTTTTAAAATATATATACATTGTGAGATGCTTAAGTCAAGATAATTATCATAACATCCGAAGTTTTCATCCAATCTGATGATCTCTGACTTGTTGCAAACACAAATTCTAGGGCTATTCTCTAGACCTTCTGAACTGGAAATGTCAAGTGATTTTAGTTTATACTAATGTCTGAGAATCATTAATTAACGTTTACATGTACTACCTTTAAATAATATTATGCCACTGCATATAGGACGTAAGAGTTATAGCAGTATAATCTGTTTCCTTCTTTCTGTTCTTTATATTGTTATATATTTTACTTCTACTAGTTATAAATTCCAAGGGAGACTGGGCGTGGTGGCTCATGCCTGTAATCCCAGCACTTTGGGAGGCTGAGGCAGGTGGATCACGAGGTCAAGAGATTGAGACCATCCTGACCAACATGGTGAAACTCGGTCTCTACTAAAAACACAAAAATTATCAGAGCATGGTGGCGTGCGCCTGTAGTTCCACATATTCAGGAGGCTGAGGCAGGAGAAACCCTTGAACCCAGGAGGTGGCAGGTTGCAGTGAGCCGAGTTTACATCACTGCAGTCCAGCCTGGTGACAGAGGAACACTCTGTCTCAAAAAGCGAAAAAAAAAAATCCCAAGAGATACTGCTATAAGTTTTGCTTTAAATGGTTCATTAACTTACCAAAAAATTTCTAATGAAAAAACTGCAATGAGAAAAAATTTCTAGCACCCTTTCCTTCTTTGTGTACTATATTTTCTTCTAGTATAATTTTTATTTGGTCTGAGGATCTTCCTTTAAAAGCTATTTAGTTCTGCTGGTAAACAAATTCAGGTTTTGTTTGTCTACAGACGATTTTGTTCAATTTCAATATTGAAATATATTTCCCCTGAGTATAGCTTTGGTAGATTAATAGGTTGGTAGATTTTTTTTCTTCTTTAAACATTTTAATGGTGACGTTTATTATCTTTTGACTTGCATTAATTTCTGATAATAAATCTGTAACTTTTAATTTTTTTCTCTGTATATGCTTTTTTCTGGGTGCTTTTAAGGTTTTTATATCAATAATTTCATCAATTTAGTTGTAGTGTGCTTTAATTTTGTGTCTACGTGGTTTTTTTTTTTTTTTTTTTTTTTTTTTTTTTTTTTTTTTTATCTAGCTTTGGGTTGATAGAACTTCTTGGATTTATGGTGCACAGTTTTCATCAGATTTGGTAACATTTTGGCCATTGTCTCTTCCACTATTTTTTAATGCTCCTTTGTCTTCTCAGTTTCTGGAACTCCAACAGTACAGCTGTTAGACCATTTGCTGTTGTTCCACAGGCCACAGAAGCTTTTCTTCTCCTTTCTCCTCTCTTCCTCCTCTGTCTTCCATTATTTTACTTTTAACTCTCTGCTTTAATTTCAATCCTTTCTACTGCTATGCCTTCAGGCTCATTGATGTTTATTTCCTTTTCACTTATGTAATATAAGCTACAAAATAGTGGTGAACTGTACTAAGAGGTAGAGACCACTTGCTAACTGTGGTCTTTTCTTTATTTTCCAAAACAGCTCAAATTGGTAGAGGTTATTTAAGAAATTTCCACCCCCCAAAAAAGTAACTTTTGGTAGATCTTTGTTTCTTTAGGGTTTAATTTGCTTTTAGTCTTTAAAATTTTATTGATTTTTTTTTTTACTCCATATTTTGTATTTTTTTTTTTCCTTTTAGATGTTCCATTTGGGTCTTTCTTATATCTTCCATTTCTTTCCTAATTATGTTCATGTTTTCCTTTAAATCTTTGAGTATATTTAAAAAAATTATAATAGCCATTTTAGGGTTATTGTTTGCTAATTTCATATATTTTGGTCATTTCTGATTCTGTTTCTAATGACTGGTTCTAGTACATGTACTTTTGCTACTTCATATGTCTAGTAATTTTTTAATTGAATCCTGGTATCACTTTTAAGTCAGGAACCTTTCAGAGTCACTCCTGAATGTCCTTGTATTCCTCGAGATCTGGCTACTCTGGCTGATGGGAACTGAGCACTGTGTGAGTTCTGGAAATTTTCTGGCTTGCAGCTCCCTAATTATTTCCTCAGTTGTTTTTCTTTGCCTGCCCTCCCGAAATTTCACTTATGCATGCCTGAATTTTTATTTATCCAACAAATTAGAGGGATGATTGACCTCCTCAATACAGGACTCTTTGTCCATTTAGCTCCCCTCTTACTGATATTTTGCCCTGAAAATTCTAGCTACTTTGACTTCCTGAACTTTAATCTGTTTCTTCTACTCAGCAAGATTGCCAAGCTGTTTTATTTTCTTCCCTGTGCAGCAGTCTGAAAATACCGCTGTGCAGAAAAACAAGGCTATTATAAGAATTTACCTTCTTTTTTCTCCTCCCAGTTATCATAGGTGCTGCTTATTGATCAATATCCACAAAATTGTTTCATATACATTTTGTCCAGTTTTCTAGTTGCTTATCATAGGAGGCTAAACAGATGCTCCTCATGTGATAGAGTGGAAATCATACTATGTTTGTGCTTGTACTATTTGTTAACGTGATTCTGACTTTGTAAAAATCTGCCAATAATGTGTTCCCAAGTGACTTAAGAAAGAAAATCTGCTCTAGGGTAATATCTTCCTAGGTTTAAATTTGCTATCAGAGTTAGACTGCATCTTTAACTCAGAATTTAAGAAATTGTTCTAAGGTTCACTCTGATTGTGTAGGCTCAGGTCATGCACTTACCTCTAAAACCATCACCGTGCTACGGAACTGCAACGTTTTGATTAACTCAGGGTTGGTCACATGCTACACTCCTGGTGTAGATTTTCTAGAGTACAGGAATGGAAGTGAAGCAGGAGAGGAACTCAAAATTAGAATTAACATGCATTATTAGAAGGGGCAGACATGCTTGGGATGCAAATGACCAGTATCCACTGCCAGTGGTGAAGGGCAGTCCAGGCAGCTCTTGACCAGCTGAATGAGAATTACCATGGAGTTTCCCCTACCTTCTGGAAGTCTGAGTTTTCTCATCTGCAAAATAATGGGAACACTCTACAGATTTCTATATTCTAAAACTCTTTCACATTTCATGGTTGGCATCCGGGTTCAGAACCCTCCTGTGACTTTCTTCTTCGTTCCTGAGATTAAAACATGGCCCAGCTGGGCATGGTGGCACGTGCCTGTAATCCCAGCTACTCAGGAGGCTGAGGCAGGAGAATTGCCTGAACCCAGGAGGCAGAGGTTGCGGTGAGCCGAGATCGCGCCATTGCACTCTAGCCTGGGTAACAAGAGTGAAACTCAGTCTCAAAAAAAAATAAAAATTAAAAAAAAAAAAAGTGGCCCACAAGGTCCTGCCTGTCATGAACATTCACACTTACAGAAAAGCTGTCTGAAACGTTTGTTCAAACAGCCACCTTCTCCCTGTTCATTGCTCTTTAGTCATTAAGGCTATCTCACGGAATTTTCAGAGACATGAAAGCCTCCCATTCAGTGTCTCACAAATGCTTCTCTGTGTCCAGAACACTCCTCCTTTACTTCTCCACCTGTTTAACAAGGGTCAGGTTTCATCTTATGTGTCACTTGTTCAAGAAATCTTTCAAAAACTCAGTCCTGGCCGTAAGATCCCCTTAAGGAACTATAATTGCCTTCTAACTGTATTTATTCATTAATTTTGGCTGCTGCCACATTTAATGTTGCACATTTGCTGGACTGGAAGCTCCATGAGGGAAGGAATGTGTGTGTTTTGTTCACTAGTGTAACCAGGGCCTTACAGAGTGCATTGCACATGCTGGATGCTTGGGGACTATTTCACTCCTGAATGCTTGCTGAAGCAGCAAACTTGCGGTCCGGTGCCGTCACTAAGTGCACAGGCTGCTGGCTCAAATTCCAGCATCGCTATTTAATAGCTGCGTGACTTGGGTAAATACTTAATGCCTCTGTACTTTGTTTCCTCATCTATAAAACTGGAATCATCAGAGTATCTATCTGTTTGTGTGCTGTGGGTATCAAATAAGTGTCTAAGGGTTGAGAACAGTGCCTGCCTCCTGCTTACTGTCAGCTGGTATAGGCCATTACAGGTAGTTGTCCACCATGAACAGTGAGGCCGGAAGCAACCCCAGGAGCTTCCAGTGTCTCACGGCTCTAGCTTTCCATTTCACATTAGCGTTTCCATGATGACTCGTGACATGGGTAGGTCCCTGCACTCGATGGTGATCTAAAACCTCACATCCCAGACTTTCTTCCAATGCTTATGCTCACCTTTTCACTTACCACGTGTCAACGCTGAGCCCTACAACAGACTGGAGTGAGCATGGCCTCCCCTTCAGGTTGCAGCAGTGACGGGTCAGGGACACAGGCCCTTCTTGTCCATCTACTTGTGGCTGAAGTGAGCAGGTGACGCCCAGGGTTTTCAGGGATACCCAGTGGCCACCCTACTTTAGCTCTGGCAAAAAAGCCTCCTCTACCATTGCTTAAAGATGACAAATACTTGGGTTTACAGGCTTTTCTAATGCGCTAGATAGCAGGGGTATAATTAGGCATTTTCCAGCCACATGTAGCCACTTTAATTTTGATGCTCTCTTCATCCTCTCACGCAAGCTCAGTAACCCGAAACATTTAGGCATTCTCATTTCCTTTTCTAATTATTAAGGAGCATTATCACGGTTTGACAGGAACATCTGATTTTATGCATCTCGTCTCTAGCAACTGCCAAAAGTTTCTAGTTCACATTCAATTGGCGTCTTCAAAGCCAGGTTTTGATACTACAGGCATTCCATCACATTTGCCTTAAGATTCACAGCACAGCTCAGGCCAGGGTTTGGTAGTGATTGTTAATACAAATCCACCCTGGAGATAGAGGCAAGTACAAATTACAGAATGTCAGGGTGCAATTTGATTGTGAATGCGTTTTTTTTTTTTTTTTTTTTGCCATTATAAATAATGAAGGATGCTGAAGATGGTTCAGCGTATTCCATTGGATATAATTAAAATCCCAAAGGTTGTGGTTTTTAAAAGCTGCATCTGCCTGTTGCCTGCTGGGATTTGGAGGTGACTGGAAAGTTTCAGGGCTGGGCTTTGTTCTAGTCTCACTCTTTCCCGATTTGTATTTTGTATCCTGTAATGTATTTTAGAATAAAACACACATTACTTATTTTAAAAGATAAGGTAAGTTTTTTTTTTTTTTTTTTTTTTTTTTTGAGACGGAGTTTCGCTCTTGTTACCCAGGCTGGAGTGCAATGGGGCGATCTCGGTCTCGGCTCACCGCAACCTCCGCCTCCTGGGTTCAGGCAATTCTCCTGCCTCAGCCTCCTGAGTAGCTGGGATTACAGGCACGCGCCACCACGCCCAGCTAATTTTTTGTATTTTTAGTAGAGATGGGATTTCGCCATGTTGACCAGGATGGTCTCGATCTCTTGACCTCGTGATCCACCCGCCTCGGCCTCCCAAAGTGCTGGGATTACAGGCTTGAGCCACCACGCCCGGCCAAAGATAAGGTAAGTTTTAATTTGCATAAAACACTTCTCTGAGCTTCAATATTTATAAAAACAAGCCCTGTCTTTATCCCCTTTTATAGCAATGCCCACCATAATTTGAAACTCCATTTCCAGCCATGGCCCCACCTTGGCGGTGCCCCTGCCCAACTGAGGTTGGCCGGGCACTGTCCTAGGGTTGTGAGGATATGGGGTCATCTCATCTCCTGGAGTGCTCATTCGTTCATGTCATAAGAATTAGGTGTTTTAAGGCATTGGTGCTATGTGGAATTGAAAATAGTTTCCCCAGCTGCTGGTCCGCTGAGTCCTGCAGACCAGCTGTTTTCCATGACCACAGAACTGAAATTCAACTCTGAGTGGGGACATGTCAGGCGGAGGCCAGCAGCTGTGGAGCAGCACTGAGCCACGTCTGACACTGGTTGTGGTCAAGGCCAAGGGGAGCCCTTGTTTAGCAGTTTTGGAGTGAGGCTGGCCAGCCCGGGAGCCTGTAGGGAAAAGATCTGCCAACCTGTGCTCTCTGATGGAAACCCTTAGAGAGCAAAGGCAGAATTAAGAATGGGCGGAGGCCGGGTGCGGTGGCTCACGCCTGTAATTTCAGCACTTTGGGAGGCCGAGGCAGGTGAATCACGAGGTCAAGAAATCAAGACCATCCTGGTCAACATGGTGAAACCCCGTCTCTACTAAAAATACGAAAATTAGGGCGTGATGGCGTGCACCTGTAGTCCCAGGTACTCAGGAGGTTGAAGCAGGGGAATTGCCTGGGAGGCAGAGTTTGTAGTGGGCTGAGATCGCACTACTGCACTCCAGCCTGGTGACAGAGTGAGACTCTGTCTCAAAAAAAAAAAAAAAAAAAAAAAAAAAAAAAAAAGAAAAGAAAAACAAAACAAAACAAAAAAACCAGGAATGGCTGGAGTCCTAGGAAAAGGCTCTTGGCCCAAAAATATCTCATTGATATTGTCCATTTTATAGAATATATTAACAAAAAATGCATGTAAGTCATACTGCTATTCAGGAATCTGTCTCATAATACTTGATAAACTGGCTTGTTTTAAAGAAAACCTTTTTTAAAATCCCCCTGAATTTGCCCCCCATCTATTTAGGTTTGCTGTAGCAGTTGGTCCCAGGGCACCGTAAGGAA